CAGCAACAAAGCTGATTGCGCACGAACCAAGTTGGGATTCTTCATAGTCCATGAGGATCTACATTTTAAAAATAGTCCCACTCAAAAAGATTTTTAGCACCTCAGGAGGTTCCCTCGTAAGACCGGAGATTTTTTCGAAAGATTTGGACTCAAACTTGAGTTTTTGTGTTTCGAGTCCGACTGATTCAACTTCTTGCATAAATCAACCAGCAAATTTTTAGTTTTTCAATATCAGCATGAAATATGCAATAGAAGTTTACTTATGTAACTTTTTCTGTTAAAATAAGATTGATGTGTTGTACGGCATAAGAGAGAAGAAATATGAATAACGATAGCCAAAAAGATTTGAAAAAATTATCGGATTCGCTTTTCTTACTTCATGACCCAGTACCCCATCCCATCCCACCCTGGACGCGTGCAGTCCTTCATCATGAATGACAGAGCTTACGCTTGTTCTCGTTCAGGATGGAGAAGTTAAACTTCGACAGATATTGAGTGAGCAAAACAAAATTTTTTGGCAGACACACGCTATTTTATGAAAAAAGACGAAAAATATGACAGACAGTTCAAAAAATTTTTAGAGCGAGAAAATCAGCGTTCTTCATCCCTCTCATCGAAAACATTATTCAACGATCAAATGTGACATCCTTTAGATTGGATATTTCAACATATCTCGACTGAGAACTCGAGCTAAAGCAACAGACTTTAGTGCTTTTGTTTTTTTTTGTATTCGCAATTATTTACTTTTTCTCTTATTTTGATGGTATCCATTTATTTTGGAACACTGATCTTCCATTCGAGCGCTTCATTTCAATCAGTTTTAAAGTTAATAATTGAATAAGCAGCGTTTTTGTCGATTCCCATATTTTTAAATAAGTTTAACAAGAATTAATTACTCGATCGTTTAAGCCTACTTCTCATTCGAGCATAGTGGCGGATACAATGAGCAAAGGGAACGAGTGTTGCTCTTTTTACCAAATTAATTTGCCCGAAACAAATTATTTTCAGAAGAGAAGCAAAAAAAATTAAAAAAAAGAGCTTTTTAGCGAAATTGAGGATAGATCATTCTCAAAAACATTAGCATAATTTTAATGTATTGAATCACATGAGTTTTTTCCTTAGAGCAATTTTATGAGACATTTTACTTCCCAGCTACAGAATCCTGTGTTAGTCAATATTAATACATGCAGGTAGCACCAATATCAGTAGCAATTCTATTTGATAAAAATTTCTATTTTGTATACTTACGTTTTTGAATATGAATTAGATTTTTTATTATCTTCCATTTCTTCGTAACTATCATCATAGTTAAATTCGTCTTCAATTTCACTTTCATCATCAGCAGTAAGCTTTGGATCAGTCATATCATAATGTTGCCATACATCATTTGAATGATATGTAGTTGAAACGTGACGATTTTTTGTTGTTGTTGGACGTTTGACTAGTGCTGTTGGTATACGTCTTAGACGATTAATCGGTGAACAGGATAAAGATTTTTTTCTTAATGACTTTTTATTCTGATTATTATTGTTGTTACTATTAAATAATAAATAGCGTGTTAAATGTGGATAAACGTTACGTGTGGTTTCACAGGCAGCCGTTAAAATTTCTTGAGCTAACGAATCACAATAATGTTCAACATTGGCTTTGTTAAGTTCAGAAAAATTATTATTAAATGGACAACAAGAACAATGTGATTGATGTTGTTGACGTTCTTGTTTATTAGTTGTATTTGATACTGAATGATAGCCGGACGATGCTGTTGATGTTAATGATACAGATTGGTTAACATTGTTATTAGTTCGTTTTGACTTCTTTTTTGACTGTTGTTGATCACATGAACAACGATAATTATTTGATGCACGTTTATTACCTAACCAATAGCTACCAAATAATAAACTACCTAATGCTAAACTACAGGCACCAGCAACACCAAACACTTTACTAGAACTGCCTGCCGATGATGATTGGATATTCATTATTTGATTATTAAACGTTCTTAAACGATGACGAGAGCCAGTAGAGCTAAAAGATGAGAATAATCGTAGAATAAAATAAATTTAAACATATTGAGAAAGAAACAAAAAAAAGATAGGAAGGGAAAGAGAGAAAAAATACTTGACGAAATGAATAAGAGCAAGAGAAGCAATAATTTTATTTTGCACAGGTCATCTTGGTTATCACTACATTAGTCCGTTGTCTTTTGTTGATAATCTGTTTTACTCCCAATATCAAAATACTGTTGTAATGGCTAAGCAGCGACATAGGCAACACACGTATATTGCGTGCAAATAGTTATTGATTCAGTTTTCTTATTAATACAAGCAACTTTTTAATTTTGAATTACATAGGCACACAACGCGCAAACAGTAAGATTAGTATATCATTAAACTAACAAAAAATGACAATCTCTACATATTTCTTATTAGAAAAGGGATTTCTGAAAGCAGCAGTAGAAAAACATAAAATTCTCCATTTTTCTAATGCTTAAATCTTTCTTAATTTGATAAAGCATTTTTCTTTGAATTTTCTATTATTTCCTTATATGAGCGAGTAAATCATGCGGAAACTTTTTCATCTGCATTATTAACTCACAGACAATATGATATCACTTGTTTTATAACACATAACGTATCGTTTTAAAATACTCTTTTGTACTTAGCATTCGTGTATGATATTCAATCAGAAAAAAATGGTGCACAAAAAAAAGTGTAGCTAATAAAGACAAAAATATATTGACAAAACAGATCACACAGCAAACGAACTAAAGGTCACTTCGCTTTTGTTACAAAAAAAGGCACATCAGCACTCAATGTATACCTTATTAATGATAAGACGTTGGAATAAGAAACAGTAGGTGGTACAAGGCGATATTTTGATTTCTGTATATGTACTCGTTTCGATGTTACTTTCATTGTACTCGTTCGGGACTATAAACAAGCTTAAATAAAGACGAAAAAAAGCCATCCTATGATGAGTATGAACGATTGAGTCTTGAAAACTGTATTACTTCGATTTTGAATTCTATGCCATTGTTTTCCATCTTACGATTTTACCGTTCTATTTCAGAAAAACTTCATAAAAAGTTCTAAGTTAAACTTTCGATTTTCGATCCTGCAGATTTGAACTTTTTCGATATTAGAAAAAGTCTTTCTCTCCCTACAAACGTACTATGAATCATCACTACTCTGAAAACGTTTATACTTGAGAAAAAAAAGACAACAGCAGGTTAGTTTAGAAATAAATACTTACATGCTCCACGTTTTAGATCTCTTCGATTAGTATGTTAATCTAGAACAATTCTAAATCTAGAAAAAAATATAGTTACGATGAACACATTAAATGAAATGCACTTAAAAATCTGTATTGAATTTGCACTATATAGTTTTTTTCGCTTCTCTATACGTAAAAAATAGACGAACGCCGATGTGTATTATAATAGTAATATTTGTTTTCAATCTTTGCCACGCGACGCCTGATGACGCATCTGACACAAAGTAATATAAAATGAAAAGAAAATACTTTTATCGAAACATATATGTAGCTATATGTGTGTATATATACTATAAAAGAGTTTTTTCTTTCGCCGCATTGTATTCTCGTATATGTAGACATTACAGGATGCATTCGACGAAGAGCCAGAGTTACAAATTGCACGTGCTGATAACTAGTTTTAATCATATGTTTTTTTTTCTCTCTCTCCTCTACTATATCATTAATACGAGTAAACTCACTCTACTACTACTTAATGATGAATGGATATTATTTATAGCATTTTTTCAGTCATGAGAACAAAAAGAAAAACATATTATGACGTTTTATACGATAATAATACTGTTTTTTACCTATATACAACGCCATTATAGCTGACCGTTTATCTTTCCTCTATTAATGAATGCTCTATAAAAACTTAGCTATTCAAGGTTGCCCATCCTTAAAATAACCGCCACATATCTTAGTATTAAAATCTAGCTGTTTTTCCTCAGAAATATTGACTTTTTCTTCGTTTTATCGACAAACAGTTACACTGCGCACATAATTACGATTACCTTTAATCGTGATTGTTAATTGTGATTAAACTAGTAGTGTAACCGCTACTTTAATCACGATTATTTTGAAAATCATGAGTAAAGATAATCACATTCGGAAGATGATTATCTTTAATCGCGATTAACTTTAACCGCCTCGATTAAAAAAAGGACCATGATAGCAGCGCTTGCATACGACTACTCAGCTGCAATAATTAATCAACCTAAAGTCTGTTTTGCCCACTAAAGAATTTTTCTGGCATTACTATACTTTGTTACAGATCGATAAATAATTAATTAATAATAATTTTATAATAATAACTTTTTTTGTTAAAAATGACTACGCAGAGTTACAAGAATAAAACGAAGGCAAAAAGATCTTGGTAGTCTGAGGAAGAAACAAACTTGCTGGTAAATTTGCTAAAAGATGAAATGATATCGAATGAAATAGTAAGTCATCGGAATTGTGGTGCCTGAATAAGTACAAGAAAGTTTATTAGCAGCCGATGTCAACAAATCTATTGATCAAATTAAAGAGTGTTACTGTATTCATGTTAACTCTCCCAACACAAAAGTGAATTTTCTCCTACGCACTGAGTATTTATAGTAATAGCTATCACGAGTTAAATCACGATTGTCTTTTTAATCATGATTAGTGCGGTTACACACAATTCTGTTATTTGTACCTTCAATCTTGTTACTTAGTAAAAAGCATATAGAACGAATTTTTATTTTTAGAATAAATTGGTAGCAATTTTTCTTTATCGAAACAGTTGTAAAGTGATTTTGTTTTTCATTGCGTTTGCTTATGAGTTTTTTGCAGCACATCCAGCTCTTTTCCGTGTTAACTTACAACGGTGAATTTATTAGAGCAAAAAATTCCGAAAACATGATGGAAATATTAAAAGACGTGTGTTGTGAATAGTTCTGTGCTTTCTCAGACACTGGAAAACAGTCTGTATACATTATTTTAACGCATTAGTCTGCTTATTTTCAGTTTCGGTTTTAAAAATTTTTGCCAGAATTTTTGAACTATTAGTTTATTGCACGACTGTGTCTGATGGGATCCCGTCGTTATAATGCATCGTTACTGTATCGATGTTCGCTCAAATCTTAGCGAAAACTGACTCCACTTAGAATCGTAGAATATATAGATAATTTTATTTCAATAGAATAATTGCTGTTTTATTTCAAATAGCTAGAGATACATTTGTTTGTGTGACGAAAAATTAAAACGAGCAAAAGCAAGAACAGAAGAATGATTTTCAAAATTTCCCTATGTAGAAATATACGTAAACAAAGGATATCGATATTTGTAGCAATTATTTACTTCGTTTATTCATTATTATTTTCCACTGCTGTTTCAATCTGATTTGTAAGAAATTATATTTATATATCTAGATGAAGTGCATAATTGATCAGGCTCAAAGAGAACAATGAATCAATTGTCAAGATCTCTATTATACGGGATACGTTTCTCGATCTTATTTACTGAATCAAAAATCTACTGTTTGATTTAAGATACTAGCTAAGAGATATAAATTGTAACTCTTTCATTATCCTAGAAATAGTGAGTGGGGTGCTTTTATAAAAGAGAAAGTATCTAGTCGTACATAATTCGAGAAAAATTGCATTTTTTTGACTAATGAGACTTGACAAGGATTTTTCTTTTAAGAATTGAATTGATAAGAGAATTATACTGCGAAAAAGATTCAGAATATTGAACTTAAAAGTCGTTCATTTGTCACATGCACAAATTAGAAATAAAACGTTTAATCTTGAAGTACAAAGGTTTGAAATAGATATGAATCAACCTCGTGAAAATAGATGAAGAACAAACTCTAAGACTAACCTAGAGACGAGTAAGTCTGACTATTTCAGAATCTAAGATTCTAATATGATAAGATTGTAGAATACATCGGATTCCACATTTGAAAAACAACAGAATTACTAAACTTGGTACAAAAATCACAGAAATTCATTTGTAGGGAATTCCTCTTGTTAGATTGTGCCATATTTAAATCATCTGTTGGTTAAAAATGTGGAAAAAATTTGATACAATTATTCAATGAGTTTGAGTTGCTCAAAAACGAAAAAGTGCAAGAAATAAGCATAGTTTTTCATCTCAGTCCACGTACTATTACATACAGATATGTAGCCTATATTCTACATATAATTTAGATGAGAGGCACGTGTGTGGTTGACGATCCCTGCAAAAAATAAAAATTTGTAGATACCGGTTATGTACGGGTGTGCGCCGAATAATTTTTTTCTGAGCACCGATGCGAGATTTTGACAGTGTTTCTGGCATCGATGTGCACTCGTGCACAACCAGTACTGAAAAAATCTGTTCAATAGATCGAAAAACACCACTAGACTATCGGTGATACTAATCTAAAACAGGCGAATAAATGAGAAGTACTTGATCGAATGTTTTTCTTTTGTCCTGTAAAAAATATTTTACCAGCACGGGTGCGCATCAGTGCCATCTAAAAAGTTCGTTTCACTACTGGTGCGCCTAAGTGTCCAATAATTTTTTTTCTGGGCAACGATGTGTACCAGTGCCAGAAAGGATGTAAAACTTTCGCACCGATGCCGAAGTTTTGTTTTGTCAATTTCTGTCTATATTAGCACCACAGTATACTTCTGATATTTCGAATGTCCTTCTGACTTCATATTTTCCCCCTCATAAAAGAAGTGCCGAGGCAATGCCGCATGGTTTTGGGATGTCAATGTGGTTCTGATCAGTGCCGCACTCTAATACAAAATTTAGTATAAACAATCATAATAAAAAACTAATTAAATTGATTAAATAAATTTCAGTGCGTTACTTTTATGACAGAAATATATCGGGACTTGCTTGGGACGGGTGCGCACCGATGCCAGTCAGTGTCAGTGCAACGTGGTACGCCGGGCGCATGGATGCGCACTGGCAGTGCGGATGTTTTTTTGTCAGTGCCACACTGAAGTTTCTTTTGCAGGGATGTTTTGTTATTTTCGTTTTAAACGAAACATACAAAAAAGAAAGGTTCTCTATCTAAAAGACTTGTTGTTTTCTTAAGATGATGATGCGATCATTTTTTACGCAGTTTATATGGAATTAGCAGCTTAAAAGCCTCAAGAAAAGCCTTTCAAAAACGTGACTTTCTTCAACCTAAACTTGCGTGTTCTACTGCTCTTGGACTCAACTCAGAAAGTTGATATCTTGTACAAAAACGAGATTTTTGAGCCAAGAAATAACCTTTGTCTTTTGTGTTCGACATTCTGACAAGAAATGCAAGGAAAAGTTTCAGTAGAGTTCTCTCCCCATTTTGAGCTACGATATCAACTAAAATAATTCTTTTTGCTGTAGATAGATTTTTCTATGATAGAACTTAATTACATCATGTTCTCGACAGTAAAGCATGATGTATGTAATAATGGGATGAAAAATAATTCAAACTGTTATAGAACGACAACCCACTTTTATGTTCTGTACATATTCTTTATCCTCTCCTCTGAACTAAATCAGTTTACGCACAAAAGGTCGTCTCGAAAATATCTCAGTTAATCAACATTGTCACAAGAGAACTCTACTTGTTCTTGTCTATCCAATTCCACCATACAACTGTCCTATAATGTTTTTTCTCCTATTTTTTATCCGCTCATTTCACGAATTTAGCTAGTCGGACTGTCAGTTAATACTACCGCATGTACAAAAACTGCAAAAGTCGCAAGAAATTTTGAAGGTTTTGAAGATCCAAGGTGCTAGACATCAATTCCAACAAATTCGTCAAGAGGAATAGCCACTGATTCACACGTTTCCACCTCCCAGACCTTGTGGTCAAAAGTTAATTGTCCTATGTGAGTAAACAGAGAAATAGCCAGTTTTTTTATGTAGCTCTAGGCTTAGAATTAAAGGGATTTTGCTCAAAGACTCGACATTTTCCAACAAAAAATATGCGCCAGACTGCGTTAAATTCTATCCCCAAAATATTTAATTACGCGTTTAATTTGAAAATCTCATTATTCGGAGCAGCGGTTTTGTGACTTTGCATATTATATCAGTAAAGACTAACCTTTCCCAAGATTCTAGCGGTCTGGCAACATTCTGTTCCAGATTTTAAATTTGGTACAACGTGGCAAGACGAATAGAATAACGGCATAGACATCACTACCTATATTCTCTTATTTACACTAATCTTATACATTAAAATAGAATCTATTCCTTTATTCGTTCAAAAATAAGCACAAAAGACCTATATTCTATTCAAATGTATAATTTAGCCTCTTGAGCAACCATCTTTGAACTTCTTCCACATTTTTCTAGATATTTTTAATATTTCTCTTTAGCTCCTATACTGTCTCGAAATATTTAACAATGTCATGCTAAAAGTGTGACAATTGTAACACTTTTAGTATGAGATTGTTACACATTTATCGTGACATTTCAGGACAGTGTTCTAATAGGAGCTATTATTTGAAGCTAAAAGGAAACAATAACAACGATACATAAATAAACAAATTATAGCTGATAGACAACTGGATGAGCTACACAGCCATTCATTTGGAGTATAACAGTCTAACGTGTACTAAGTTGCGAATGCACTTTATCCTTGTCCTGTTCAATAAATAAGACTATTCTTTTAAAACTCAACAACTCGTTATAGCACACCTTACTCTTATTTGTATCATTAACCAATATAAATTGCCTGCAGGCTTGTTCATCTTTAGATTGGTGCGTATCAAAAGAGTGATGATTCATAGACTGTCTGGTGGGTAAAGATAACTTTGATTCAAATCAAACTGATGTAGAAATCGTTTTGACTGTAGCTTTCTTCACCTGTAGAGAAGAGAGGGGAAGAATCATACTTTTCGCAACTGCAACAAAAAAGGCGCAGAATCATTCATTAATTTCTACGCGACACAACTCATAAAGAAAGTTGATCAAACGAAGATTTTTGCGCAGTGTGTTTACCCGCTGCTACGTATCGGCACAAATTGTTCTTTCCGCAATATGAACACATTCCAGGAAAAACCATTATGGCACTTAAATATTATTTCATACAGGTCTGTGTTGAATAGCAACGAGACATAGAGGTAATCACAGGTTTCTGAAGAAAAACAAAATCACAAATTTTGTATAAACAAGTCAGGAATAGTAATTCCTATGAAGGAGAAATGAATCATCTATAATCTCGAGAAATGTTAAATGATTTCGCTGCAAAATAGAGCGTCAATAAGTCTGCACAGCGCAATTCATTAACTATAAAGTGTATATCGTTAGATGCTAGACGTAGTATATTGGTAGGTACCTACAATACCAAATTATTTCGAAAGTGTATCAATTTATTGTCATTGTTTAATTTTATTCTACACTAAGAATAAATAGGTGGCTGATAAAAATATGATATGTTTGTTTATCACGCCTTTCTAGTATGACTTGAAAGGTTTGTTTTATAGCAGTTTTATATAAAACATAAGTATACTAGTGCAATTTCTGATATGAAGAAAATATTGGAAAGGGTTTATTCACGAGGAAACATTTGAGTGAAAAAATAGAGGGTACAACTTCTTCGTCTGTGGTGGATATCACTTTTGTTAGACTAATATTTTTTGTAAAGCAGCCAGTAAAAATTGGAAAAGTTGTTTTGACATGAAAGAGTCGTCTTTCCGATACAAAATAGCATATCCGAAAAATCCGAAGTTCAGGTAGTTTCTGAAACATAGTGCTTGCAAAAGATAGTGTGAAATCTCTTGAGATTAGAGTCTGGTCATATTATGATTTGAGACATGTTAAAGGTATTTCACGAGGATTTTCCCTATAAATATATCCATTCGCAAGCGCGAGGTTTCACAAAATCTGGTCTCCGACCAATTATCTGTACAAAGCTGAAAACACGATACAACTTTGTATCAATCAGTCATTCCACGTGCGTCCACTTCCGACTTGATCTACAAAAAGAGCTGTTAATAAAAAAGACAAGAATGGATGTCTCGAATATGCTATTTTGTACCGAAAAGATGACTCTTTCATGTCGAATTTTTCCTGACTGCTTTATAAAAAAATATTAGTCTAACAAAAGTGATATCTACCAGCAGCGAGGTAACTCAGGCGAAGAAGTTGTACCTTCTATTTTTCAAGGCAACAACGAGAGCAGCTAAGATATTCATATTCGTAATCAACATCAAATTTGGCTACTTAGCCTCTACTTTTCATCTCGTTTCGGACACTCAAATATGTTTCCTCGTGAGTGAGAGAATAAGCTCTTTTTCAATAAGTTAATCTAGAACTGTTGAACCTAGAGGTTGAACCTAGAACTGATAAGTTCTTCATATTAGAAATTGCATTCAAAACCTATTTGTACGTAATTTTTTGGTTTCAAGTTCCGAACAAACCTAGTACTATTACGTTCACCTTTTTGATCATCTTCTGTATACTGTAATAGAGACAATAGCCATATACATTTGTTTTAGATCAAATTTCCTATATTTGCATTGAATATTTTTTATCATTAATTTGCGAAAGCAAATAAATAAGCACTTAAAGCATGCTTCTATAGAATAGTCACTTGAAAGAGCAATAACAACAGCAACAAAGATCCATTAAGACGACGGACTAGTGTAAAACATGGCGTCAAATTTACAAAAATTGGTTGGAGCAAGTATGTTTTTATCATTTATATTGAAAAAAAGATTTAGTTCATTTATTCACGCTGATTCTAGAGCTTATCAATGATATGTTGAAATGTGAATCTGTTCGACAAAAAGAACGTAATGATTGGAAAGTATTAGTGATGGATCGTTTGGCAACAAGAATTATATCAGCATCATGTAAAATGCACGATATTATGTCGGAAGGAATAACAAGTTAGTAGAAAATCTTTATCTGTAATGAGTGGAGTTGACTCTGCTGAATATTTTCTTTTCTGTCAACTAGTTGTCGAGGATATTATGAAAAAACGTGAACCATTAACAATGCTCGAAGCTGTTTATTTTATTCAACCGACTGAAAAGGTATGATAAGGGTGTAGAGAATAATGATATATTTTTAATGTTCTTGGCATTTTAGTCAATCAGTGAATTAGTGGACGATTTCGAAAAGCAAGGTGTAAACAAATATAAAGCTGCACATGTTTTCTTTACAGAAGGTTTGTATTGCTGAATAATATATTTTCAGTTGGTGACACGATAGATGAGCTTCTGACATTTGAGTCTCGACAAATGAGCCTCCCGATATATGAGCTCTTGACATTTGAACCTCTCGACATGTGAGCCTAACGAAAAGAACAACATTAAAAATTATTATAATTATAAAATCATGAACAACATCAAAAATTCAATAAAGTCCGTGCTCTTTTGAAATATTCTTTTCTTGTATTTAGTTCAAAAATAGTAATTAACTATTGTAGCAGCTGTTCGTCCATTTGTTTATATGCAGCAGGTTTTATCAGTTTTACAAGTCCAGTTTCTAAGTTCTCTGGATTTATAAGGTCTGCATATATCAATATATCAATATATATATATATCGAGAACGAGTTAGAAAGCAGAATCAAATTTTAATCAAGCATTATTTAGAAGTGTCAAACTCAATCAATTTACATATAAGTGCATCTCATTTTGACAAAGAGTTTCTGTATCGTCATCAAAAGCCATTAACTTCATTTATTAAACCAGATTATAACTTATGTCTATGTTCTTTACTCGTATCGAACTACATCATATAATGTTACCATGTTCTTTGAGTAAGACTCATCTGTTGTGGGCTCAAATGTCAAGGGCTCATATATCGGGAGGCTCATTTGTCGGTGTACCACTTTCAGTTATCGGTTTATCGTCATTCTATTTACTTTAGCTTGTAATCCGGAGTTGTTCAATAAACTGATCCGCTCAAAATGTCCGAAATATATCAAAACATGTCAGGAAGTTAATATTGCCTTTTTACCATATGAACGGCAGGTAATTATAAACAAAGACACAGTGTTTAACTAGACACTTCCAATACTGAACCGATTTCTAAATAAAATCGACTCAAATACTTCTCTACTATCTCATTTAATAAATTAACGTTGATATTTTAACTGTAAAAGCTCTTCATTTGTTTAGGTATTTACATTGGATTCACCCGATACATTTTACATAAGTTTTAGTCCACAAGCTACTCAGCAACGTAATATGCATCTTGATCATATTGCTGAACAAATAGCAACATTATGTGCTACATTAGGCGAATATCCATCGATTCGTTATCGAGGGTATTTATCCTGTAATTATGTCATTTGTTTGATTCGTCACTGTTTTATTTTATATTTATAGTGAAAATGAGAAAATGGTTGAATTTGCGCATGCTGTTCAACAAAAACTTAACCAATATAAAGCAGATGATGCTACAATGGGAGAAGTAAGTTGACGCTAACTCGTATATGTTTATCTATTTATTATATGTTATTATTTATCTGTTGTTATTTATTTTTAGGGTGCTGACAAAGCAAAATCTGTTTTGTTATTATTAGACCGCGGCTTCGATGCAGTATCACCTTTATTACATGAATTAACTTTTCAAGCAATGGCGCACGATCTTTTAAAAATTGAAAATGATGTCTATGAGTATGTTAGTTTTTGTCAATGATACTTCGATATTGTAGTGTGCTGTTTTGTTCAGATATGAATTACAAGCACCCGGTGTTGATCCCAAAGTGACACCACCACAAAAACAAAAAGTATTATTAGATGAAAATGACGAGCTTTGGACAGAATTACGCCACCAACATATAGCTGTTGTTACACAGTAAGTGGACTTTTTTGGGAAAAAGTACAACGTAGTATTACTATCGACATCTTATGAATTGTAGAAGTATAACAAAGAAAATCAAAGATTTTGCCGTACAAAAACGTGTAAAGGAAACCGATCGTGAACGTACAACAATGAAAGATTTATCAACAATGATAAAAAAAATGCCTCAGTATCAAAAAGAATTGAATGCATATGCTCTTCACTTTAACATAGCTGAACAATGTATGAACACTTATAATAAAGATTTAGGAGAAAAACTATGTTCAGTTGAACAAGTATGACGTCTTATGCGTTTTACGACAAATTTGATGTCCTACAATGCTCTTCTCTGATGTCTTGTAGAACCTCGCCATGGGCACTGATCCTGAAGGAGAACGAATAAAAGATCATATGCGAAATATTGTTCCACTGTTACTCGATACGATTATTGCAATTGAAGACAAATTACGTATTATTATGCTTTATATTCTGCATAAAAATGGTAAGTTGTACATGCTCTTTTTACATTCTTTTAGAATAAAGAGGTAGTGAGTAAAGCACAAGCATATCTATGCAATTTAGCAAATGTACTTTGTTTGTAGCTTATTGTTGTACAGCGCCCGATACGTACGGTAAAGATTCTACTTTTGTACGGGTCATTAAGGAAAAGTTTTCTTTTTTGTTGAATTATTTGCTGTTTTTGGCTACTTTTGATTTGTGCTATCTAACAAATTTCTTGGTTCAGGATTTTTTAAAAATTTTTGTGGGTGTGTGGAATCAAAAAACGAGTTTTTGCTTGAAAACAAAACATGTGTGAATGTTTTTATCAAGGATTTAGTGTAATTTTTAAAATGCTAATTATTAATCACGAAGACTAAACGATAATACAAGACCGTGTTTGTAGAAAAGTCAAAAAACAAAGATCAGTAGGCAAAATAACTGTCAAATAGTATAGAAGATTGTCTGAAGGTGTGTTCTTAATCATATAACTGTGATAGTAGAAAAAAATTATTTTGACATTGAACACCTTCACTAACAATCAATTTTTTTAATTTTTCTAACTGTGATAAATAATCTTCTGTTTTCATTGCTAACTAAGTTATCTTTGTTTTTTAAATAGGTATTACTGAAGAAAATCTAGATAAATTATTGAGTCATGCATTAATACCAACAGAAAAGAAGAATATGATTACAAATATGCAACATTTAAATTTACAAATTTTACAGGATCAATCAAGGGTAAGTGATAAACTTCAATATTACTTCTTTCTCACCTTTTTGAACCTTTTGTAATAAACCCGAGATCAAAATGTACAATTTTTATTTTCTACCAACTAAATATGTGTTTGCAGCGCGCAAGTGGCGCTTCGCCAGATATTGGGCGTTCAACTGTGCATATAGCAACAGAGTTGTTTATTAAACCAGTGGGGGTAATTACTGTGTCAAAACTGATGCAAAATATAAAAGACGTCGTTTATTTTCGACTCACTGTTCTAAAAAGGCACACGCATGTATTATATGTAGTTACTGTAGACATTATTTTTTTTGTCATCAACGGGTGCATCTCTGCGCCGTGAAAACTTTTATTATTTGTTTTTCTATGAAGCTAAGTTTTAAGTGAGATAGTCTTATTTGTCCAGATTTTCATCACAGCATGAGTGGATTGTAGTACTGTCATATCTGACCATTTTTCTTTTTGTCTTATTTTTCGGCTTATGTAAATGCTTTTAACATTGTAAATGTCGATAGTCAAACTAACAGTGATGAATCTTCCACTTCATTTGTCTCTTTAACCATTAACAATAACTTTAAGTTTGCTCTGTTCCGACATATTCTTGAGATGAAACATAATATTGACTTGGGCGGTTTTAAAATCTTGATGAGAGACAATCACTCATATCGTCTTCTAATTTTAAGGAATCATTAGCGATTTTAAGTCATCAACCTAAATTTATTAGCACAGTTTGCTTCGTTCCTCCATATGTATTTCCTAATGGTATCGCTAAAAAACCAGTTCCCGACCCAGGAAGAAGAGGATAAAAATCTATCTGCTTTGCCACTATGTTCGTCTTTAATCTTGTTTTTTACTCTCTTTCGCTTCGTTCGCTATGTACATAACATAAGCAGAAAACTAAAATGAAATATTTTTATGTTTATCTCTCGCTTTTGAAATTCTTTATACTTTTGTCTATATCAGATAATTTTACAATGGTATTCTCACCCTAGATTCCCTCTCTTTGTATAGATATCAGCGCTGCACGGGCATAGATTTTAGATCATTCGTAGGCTCGCCTCGTCAGATCTGTTACCGTGGATACTCGTCTCTTTCATGGCAGGAGCAGATTTTTTTTGCCTGAGGGTATCAACCCGGCTAAGATATCCTCGTGGGTAGTCGTGAGAAGTTTTTCTGCATAGTATGTTAGATGAACATTTTTCTACTATTTCATTTTTGGTGTAAGTTCATAAAGGAAAGACATTGATTTGCTTCAAAAATAAACAAAAAAGAAACATCAGAACCTTTACTTTTGTACAGAACGAACAACTAGAACAACTGAATCGAATATTTTCTATAAAAAAATGCGTATGGCGTATAAGCCCCGCGGATATACTCGCTATTCGTTCAGCTCTGATAGATAAATATATTTATACGTTATTTCTCTATCTATATTTATTTTCAAGCGCATCTAACCACTCTGGTGTCTGTGTTTTTATACTTGAATTCTTGAAAATGAACACTATATTGTTCGAAACGTCAAATTAATTTTAATGTAAATAAATCAAATGAAACTTAAAATAGCTGCTGTTATAATAGCATTTCTACTTGAAATATGTTATGTATGTTTATTTTCAACGGCAAGAAAGTGTAAAATTTTGCTAAAGTAAGAACGTTTTCGTCTACTCTCTTATTGTTTCTAATTTAAGTACATGTTTTATGGTTTGCATGAAAGGCTATTGTTGTTCTCGATCGACAACAGTAGACATGTCGTTTATTATTTTCATTTTTATTATTAATATTTTATCGTTAGTATTTGCTTAAAATCAAGTATTTTTATAGGCGGGGCGACGAAAAAATATTCCACAACCACGCAAAGAGCGTTCGGAACCAACATATACAAATTCAAGATGGATACCGTATGTTAAAGATATTATGGAAGTATGTATTCTAAACTAGTACTAAACAAACGAAAATGTGAAGTTTCCATTGCTTTATAGGATCTCATTGACGAGAAGCTTGACTTGCGGACATTTCCATCGCTTGGACAAAGAAATGTAACGTCAAATTTTCCAGCTCAAAGGTAAAAAATATTCATAGTCTGATTAATCTTTTCCCATCTTCATATATCTTATTTGATTTATAGCTCAAGAGAAAAATTTGGAGCATGGATGCATGCTGGACGAAAAGGAGCACCGGGTCGCTCTGGACCGAGACTAATCATATTTATACTTGGTAAGTTTCTGTATTACAAAAATTAGCTTTATCTGTAAAAATGATTCATATTTTCAGGTGGTGTAACATATAGCGAATTACGCTGTGCCTATGAAGTAACTCAAACAAATGGGAAAAAATGGGAAGTTTTCATAGGTAAGGCAAAGATTTTTCTTTTTTTTTTGACTGCTTAAAGCGATGTTGTGGTAAGTTTGCGTTTTTCCGCAGCCTCAACAGTTCAAACATTTTCCCGTTGTATGATAGGTTAACAGGAACAGAAAGGATAAAAGGTACGGTATGCGTAGATCAGTTTCCCAGAACATGTTAGGTTTTCAATCTTGGTAAATCTATATTTTTCCATCAGAATCTCCAGAGGATAACCAAAAAATTGTCAAAGTATTTTCATTGTTCTCTTTGTCCTATAGTTCTATCTTTTATCCTTAGTTTACCACAAGTATATACTTAAACGAAATTTTTTTATTTGAAGTAAATGCAAATCAGACATAATATAGCCAAAAAGCTGAATAAAACTACAAATAAAAGAAATAAACTGAGATCAGATTATTGCTCTATTTTCTAACTTCAAAATCAACTTTTCATTTCAAATATGAGTGCCGTTATATGGTATGATATAAAATTTCATTAGCATATTTTCTATTTGTTTTTAGGAGGTGATCATATTGTAACACCCAAACAATTTCTCAAAGATTTAGAAATGAAACCACCAAAAGATGATGAACAACAATAAACAAATAAAACGATTAATATTCGAAGAACAATTGTCTGTATATTTCCAAATCAAAATTTTTTCTTATATATATCTATATCTATATGAACACATTATACCAGATCATACGTCTCCTTCATTTTTCTCCAAATAATTATTGTATTTTTTTGTTTATGTGATTTTATTTATTTATTGCTTTCGTATATGACACGCTTCTCGTTTTTGGTTTATTTTTTATTTGAAAAAATTTCATGACACACTTTTATAGGTGTTGTATGTTGTTATTTCTCTGACACATGCAATTTAGTCGTAATCCACCGATATTTTTCTAGATGTACAAATTTTACCGAGGTAATAAATGCGCACTAATGTGGTGTTATTTTTTTATTGCGATATCTCCTATATATTTAAAAACACTTAGCACTACAGTATCTATCTGTGGTAGGAGGTGCTTCATTGATTAAGGCTATAAATGTCGTCTTTATTGTTGCTCTACACTGTCCTTTCCTACTTAATTAAATTTTTTTAATTTCTGTGCAATTCTTCTGCGTAGATATGTCAACATTATTACTGAGTGCAATTATTTGTTTTTTTGTTTATAATACTCATCTTTTTCATTTTTACCTATGATATTATTCTAGAAGCACTTCCATTTTTATTTACTGTATTTGTGTTTGTGCTGATTTTTTCTATTCAAACTGTCTTATTCAGCTCTTATACAGATAAATTCGGTCTGTAGAATGAATAATTCTTGCTAGAAATTGGAACAATTAGATTCTTAAATGAGTTAGATATTCCTTCAAACTGATAATAACCTTTTTAGATAATAAAAATGAAATAAAATAAAAAAATTAATCTGTCCGAAAGAGTTGTTATAGACAAAATAATTTGAGATATTGAGGTTAGATTTAGATACATTCCATTTTAAGATTCGAGTGAATAATCAAATATAATGGTTAATAATTCCATAAACACTCAATACACTAGATTTCATTTAATTGCTTCTTGTTCAATGCTAATAACAGTCATGTGTGTTCAATACAGTGATTTTACCGTCTCGTTTATTCCTGTTTGTTTTTTATTATCTTTTTCTTAATTCTCTTTTTTGTGCATGTTTATTTTTTAATTTCTTCAGCATATATGAAGAGAACTTTTTCTTTTTTCAATTTATATTCTTTCCCAATGGCTTTTCTGTATAATTTCTCTATTTTAATTAAAAATTCTGCACGTACATATGCTAATAAGAAAAATGAATGTTCATAAACAAATATAATGGTTTCATAGTTATCAGGCAAGTTCAAAATATTACTTTTACAAAATAAAAATTTTAGATGTCATTTACGATTAGAGAGATTCTCCTTAAATCTTCTATTAAACCATCTTTTTTGACTGTCTTATTACACTCTCATTTACGCCGATTTAGTCTCACCACTCCTTTGGCATTGAAAAAAAGTACGTTTTTTTTTTCAATCTGTCGTCGAAGAGACATATTTGTTGATTTTCGTCTCATTTTTCAGTTACTGAAAAAGCTGAAGGCAATGTGACAACCGTAAGTTAGTTTTGAAGTAAATGAGTGATCAATTTTTTTCAATCTTCTTACCTTACCAGTTCGAAGGCGAATATATTGACGATAAAGATCATAAAGTTTTAACGTTAGCCGGACCAGAAGAAGTTTGTACATGGTGTAAACTTGATAGAAGATCAATTCATATTCAGCATACAGTACGTAACGATAATCAATTTTTATGAAAAAGACAAAAATATTAATACTCAATAAATTTTGTATGCTTTTTACTATAGGATGTCCTTGTACTACGACAATATCTTCGAAAAGACGGAACAATATTGCCAAAAGAGATAACTGGCCTTTGTTTTAATCAACATAATAAATTACTTGCACTTATTAAACACGCAAGAATGACTGGTAAGTAATTATGTTCATTTTGTATTCAAAAACTAAATATATATACTTTTATACATAGGACTTATATCATATCCAACCGTTGCTGTGACAAAACGTGAACCACTAATTATTGATCCAACATTAAGACCAGAATGGGAAAGAAATAATTCCTATTGGGAAAATTATGAGATTTTGCGGAAGAAAAGACGCTATATTTAAATTTTTACTATGTTTATTTTGTAGAAAATTGTTATTTATAGAACTGATGTAAAAGACTTTAGAAATAAAGTTTTAACTTTGTATTTTTTTGATTTTTAAATGAGTAATGAAATGATAGATAAATGAGTCTCATTCAATTGCATTTTAGGTTATGTTAACTATGACTGTCTTACTTGAATTCATTTAATTCTTTTTAAACATTAATAGTTTTTATATTAAAAGTTGATAATAACATGTCATTGTACAGTATCAGAATGATATTCTATATGAAATTAAAAATTAAATCGACTCAAAATGATGGTGCTCAATTACACTACGGTTACACTACGCAAATAATCACGATTATCTTTAATCATGATTAAAAGATAATCGCGATTAAACATTCTCTAGTATAACCGCAATTTTTTGTATCATGATTAACGATATTTAATCACGATGAACAGAATTGTGTGTAACAGCATTAATCACGATTAAAAAGATAATCGTGATTTAACTTGTACCTATTACTATAAATACTCAGTGTGCAGAAGACAACCCATTTTTGTGTTGGCAAGGTTAAAGTGAATACGGTAATACTTTTTAATCTGATCAATAGATTTGTTGACACCGGCTGCTAATAAACCCTTCTTGTACTTTTTTCCCGGCGTCATGATTCTGAAGACTAGCCATTTCATTCGATATCTTTTCATCTTTTAACAAATTTAGCAGAAAGTTTGTTTCTTCCTCAGACCACTACGATCTTTTCACCTTCGTTTTATTCTCATAACTCTGCGTAGTCATTTTTAATAGAAAAATTATTATTAAAAAAATTATTATTATAAAATTATTACTTAATTATTTATTAATCTGTAAAAGAGTATAGTAATGCCAGAAAAATTCTTCAGTAGGCAAAACAACTTTCAGCTATAGTTATTGCAGTTGAGCAGTCATAGGCAAGCGCCGCTATCATGATCCTTTTTTCGATACAGACGGTTAAAGTTACTCATGATTAAATTTAATCGCGATTCAAGATAATCATCTTCTGAACATGATTATCTTTACTCGTGATTTTCCAAATAATCATGAGTAAAATAGCGGTTACACTACTAGTTTAATCACGATTAGTAATCACGATTAAAGATAATCGTGATTATTTGCGTAGTGTAACCGTAGTATTAGCAAATAAAAATAATACAACTTCGTTTTAGTTTCTTGAAAAAATACAGTAACAATAAATTGAAATTAAGTTATAAGCATTTTGTCAATACGCTATAATCGATGTTAAATACAACGAAATAATTATAAACAATGATAAGAGAAGTATCTGATCATGAAATAATTTATTTATCTTGTTCACTTGGTATTAATTTATTGTTAAATTGATTAACATTTGATAATAGACTTGTTTTATTAGAACGATCTTAGACTAAATCAGATTTTATTTTTGATCGAAGTAAAATAATTTAAAAATTCTATCAACATAGCAACATCAGTTAATAATCGTGCTTATTTATGAAAACAATAACGTGAGTCTTCTAATTAGTGTTCATATGAATATCATAAATGAAATAAATAAACCTATGGTAGAATTGTTTCTTCAATTTAGTACATCATTTTCATATGATGAATTGCTGATGTATTTGCAGATGTATACTGAATCTAATGAAACTAGTGAGAAAAAATGTTGATCTATTGATTAAATGACTACATTATTGAATGAAAACTACGCATATCTGCAAGCACTGTCAAGCGACAAAAAGCATTAAATGTTTTATCCTCGGATATTTCGTTAAATAGATTTATTTTATTAAATTAAGATTTAATTTTTAAAATATGATGAAATTAAAAATGATCTTTTCTTGACTTTTCAAGTCATATTTTGTTGTACGTATCATTTTTTTCTGTTCGTTTTTTAGATAGAAAATGTATCATTGTAGTACACAATATAGAAATTGGACTTTTACCGAACAACAATTGAAAGAACGTCGTGCCAAATCAAATGCTGATTATATTGAAAGACATATACAGGAGAGAGTTAGTTGAAATAAGAAAAATAATTTCTTATATTTGACAATATTGTGTTGTTGTAGGATCGATCTGAATTTTTGACTGCTGATGAAGAAGCTGTTCTATTACGATATTATGAAATGCAAATGAAAGATTTCTGTAATAAATTTCGTCCACCCATGCCAAAAATGGTTATTGTACGTATTATAATGTTAAATTATGACTCTTGCAGAAATTAGACTATTTTTTTCTTCTTCTGTACAGGCTACCAGTTTACAATATTTTAAACGCTTTTATGTTCGAAATTCTGTTATGGATTACCATCCAAGAGATATTTAGTAGGTGTCATGTCTTTATTTACATTGTATACGATAGTTTTTATTTAGTTTTCATATTCGAGAGATCTTTCTGAAACAAAGCCTCAATTCTAATTGATAGTCCTTATCTATTTGAGTTACAGCTAGACATAGGATGATCAATCTAAGATAGGGATATGCTTGAACAAGGATTTTGGGTTACAGTAACAGTGGCCACGAGAAATATTTTTCAAAAAGGAAGTACTTCTGAGCTAATAGCGCACCATCTTCATCCGTATTTAAGTGTAAAAATAATTATTGCATGTGAAATTCGTGAAAGAATTCAACAAAAAATACTTTTTCAAGCAAAACTTAGTAAAGAATTTTTCTGTCATCTATCCTACTTTAAGTCATCGTGACCCCTATTACTTTAAATGGCCAAGGACACGTAGATCTGTAGTCTAAGAAATTAAAATTTGCTGGTTGTACCATAAAATCTGCATTTAATATACACCATAATCATGAGAACGAATGAGAAGAAACAAAAAAGTAGGAAACATACTATTTCAAAAGGTCTGATTGTTTTTGTCTGTTTCAGATTTTTTTTTTCTAAAAGAACTGTAACTCTTGTGAAAGTGACCACTAAACTTTAAATTTTGTGAAAACTTCCTAGGACTTGTCCGTTTTCCGAAGGAAAAGGAAGTTTGAAGTATAAATTTTATATACGAGGATTTTTGTGGTTTGCAGGGGGGGTTTTCTGTCAGTAGCTGTAAATTTTCGGTTTGAAATTGTGATTGGCTAAATTTCAATATAAATTTGGTGTTTACAGCTACTGAAATGTGTGTTCACAACTACTGAATGGACTAGTAACAAATAGTGCATTATCGATCTGTTGTTGTTAGACACAAGTTTTAAAATTTATTACGATATATTATTACATGTTCTGTGTTATAGTCCAACAGTTCAATTGAAAGTTTTCACATTTTTATTTCGTAGAAGTAACGCTGACAAGCTTTTCATCATTTTTGAGCTCTTTCATATTTTCTTCTCAGGTCATATACTAAAATAATTTTTCTGTTTTTTCTTTTAATTTCAGTTTGATATGCGTTTATTCAGCTTGTAAAATTGATGAATTTATTATATCAATAATTGACTTTATTCGTAATATTAAAAATTGTTCAAATATTGAGCAAACAGCTGATGTTTTGTTATCTTATGAATTGTTACTTATTGAAAAACTTGATTTTCAACTCATTGTACACAATGCCTATCGACCATTTGAAGGTCTTATTATTGATTTAAAAGTGATAATTAGAAATCGATGTTCAAGACAAAAAGACGTTTTGTTTTTTATTCTCTTTTTAGACTCATTTACCACCAGAAAAAGTCAACGATGCTGATCATTTAAGAATGTTAGGAATGAATGAATTTTTAGAAAAAACATTAACATCGGATGTTTACTTTTTCTTTCCACCATCTCAGGTACTTACTACTGAGTAATAATGAATTGATTCATTTGACATTTGTTTTATATTTTATTTACAGGTAGCATTAACGGCACTCGTATTTGCATCAGTTAAAGAAAAAGTGGATATTGATGCGTAAGAGTGTTCAATATACTTGTCATTATAAAACTATTTATGAATTATGTTTAGTTATATAGTAGACCACATATGTAGTAGTCTTGATAGAGCCGATTTACATAAAGTAAAAGATACGATACGTTGTAAGTAATCATGAATACAATTAAATAGATTAATTATTAAAGTTTAATATTGTAGAGCAATAGCGATTAAGTTTGAATGACTAGCTAAGATTAAATTTGTTTTATTTTCTCTTTAAGTAATTGCTAGTGTTGTCAATTCAACGACTCCATTCAACAAAAGTGAAGCAAAAGCATTAGATAAAAAACTTGAAAAATGTTATAATCGCGAAAATGATCCACGATCGGCACAGTAAGCATTTTTATTTATTGAAAATATTTGATACATGAATAGTTGAAATTTTATTTTATTTTCACTTCTGATTACGTACTTTATCATCAATATTTGAAACTAATTATGAGTAAAGACTTCTAACAATGAAGTTCGAGCATAATATTTTCATTTGAATGTTTATACAGCACACATTCTAACACATTGTCGATTATTATTTTGTGAAACAGAGGTTGTTCATTTTTCAAAAATAATTCATTAATTAGCTCAATTTGTTTTCTATATTCTTTTTGTCTAATTTTAATTGAAAATGTTTAAGTTATGTTGTTTAATTTAGTTTATCATTATATTGTTTGATACTGATTAATCTCCTCACTTTTAATTTGATGATCGACTTTTTAAATAATTATAAATGTTGACGTCTTGAATACTACTAGATGTTTGGCGTTCAGTAACAATTAAATGACACACACTTAGATTCGTTTGAATTGACAATTTTATGAATGGCAAGATGTTACATGATGTTGATCCTCGACGTTTAGGAAGAGAAAGATCTACAAAGCGTTGTGAGAGATGCATTTGTTGGACAAATATGATGATTCCATTTTCATTGTCAGAATTTGTCAGTTCGCCTTCTATCGTCAAAAATGAATATACACTAATTAATGGAGTTCGAATGTTTGAATATATATAATATTGTTCATTATTAATATGATGTGTATAAGAAAGACCAGACTGTAGTTTCAATGTATTACATCTTTGATCTTATTTGTCTAACAGTCAATTGATGTCGGTCGTTATACTTTTATTTATCTTTACTTTATGCTCATATACTATTCCACTGTTGTTTAATCTTTTAGGTATCAGAAAAAACGCCAAGAACAATTTCAGTCATTGCTCGATTTTGAAACAAATCTGGTATGATAAGAAAAAATAGGTACAAAATTCTTTTATCTATCTTATGTGTATGTATTCTTTTTTTTTAGCCTTAATAAATTAGATGAAGCGAATGGATATTAAACTTTTTGTTAAAATTTCTACATTTTTTTCTGTCATTATTTTGTCTTCTGTTGTTGATTAGAGAATTTGTATATACAGCGAATAAAATTAAAACAAATTAATTCATTATCTATCTTGCGATCGTTTACTTACAATGAATTAAGAATTTCCAATGATACTCTGGTTAAGTCAAATATTTGATGTCCTCAAACGACATTAGTCTAGCCGCATTTATTCATTTATTGTTGTTAAATGAAAAACAACTTGAAAAGAATCTGTTATTTAGAATATTGTAAAGTCTGTTCTTCCAATCTGTAGGACTATGTGTACAAATTCCATCATTATCTTTGGTTCTTTCAAACGTATAATACAATATGAATAGCATACAATCTTAAAAAATAGTGAACTAAAATCAATAAATTAAGATAAAACATAAGTAAAATGTATCATTAATTAAACACATTCCTATACATCTCTATATTTATCTCAAAACGGGAACAGCCATTTTTTGCATCAGAACTGTAGAACATAGAATCAGCTATACTCAATATACGAAACATCTTACACTATCAAAACCACTAAAGTCAAAAGAAAAGCGGCAAAAAGGCTTCTGGAGTCTTTCCCAAATTGAATGTAGTTTGATACAGGAATGTTGTGGATAGCTTAGAGGCATATTAGTTTGTCCAGAAATGTTTTCTCTATAAGACTAAATTGTTTACAAAAGGTTTCAGATCAAATCCAGAAACTTGGGTTCTTCGAAGACTTCGTGTTCTACAATTCTGATAGAATTTGCATACATACTCCTACGGATTGGAACCCTTTCATCCGCTCAAATTCCTTTAGGAATGAACCCTCCTGATTGACAAAAAACATTCCAAATCAAGGTGGACGCTCAATTTTTGTATAATAATGTGCTGTACCAGTGCGTTTATTTTGAATGCAACAGTATATAACTAATTTGGCTAGCCAAAATTCTAGACAGAGTAGAAGCAGTTTTAATTTTATTACTGTCGGCGTACGTAGTATACATAGGGCTGGGAGGATCACGGAGAAGGGCGAAATTAAAGCTTGAAAGTACCAGAACGGATTGCCCATATAAACAGAGGGTTATCACAAAATTTTGGTTAATCCCTGGTACAGTTCATACGAAAAGCAATTATGCGTCGTGCATTATGAGGACGACACCTGCAACTATTCCAAAATGAACATTTTCAGGAGAATATTAAAATTTTGTGATAAATCATTTTTTTATACGGGCAATCCATTTTTGATATTTTGAAGCTTTAATTTCTCCCTTCCCCCGTGGTCCTTTCGGTCATATGAATAATCTATTTTTAAGACGAAGTTCTAAATTCGTAATATCAATAATTATTACATTAGTATGACATGTATCTATTTTTAAAAAAATAAACTTGACCATGACTTAAAAGTTTTTTTTGCTATCATTTCTGTTTGTTTTGTGACTGGTTTTTAACAGAAAAAAAATCATTTTAATAGCTTAAAACATGTTGAAACGTTCTAACATGTTACATTTTTCATTGCGTATAAGTACTAGACAACTCAGAAATGTTATCGGTACATTATACAAAGAGTTTGACTATTTTTCTGTATTCGTATTTTCAAGTATATTACGTTTCTAATAAAGAGTAAAATCTTACGATCGTCTTTTATTTTGTCTTAAATGAAATGTCTTATCATTACTCAACGGGTATGTTGTAATATTGTTTACTTATTGTTATTTTTTTTTTCCTGCGAGACAGGACCAAATCTATCAAAATCTTGTTTGCTATAACTTATTTTTCAGTTTATGGTGCATTATAAATATTGATAAATGATTTGTAAAGTGTTATATTGTTCTGTTAAATTATTACTATAGGTAAATGAAATAAACGTAGCGCAAAATAAAGCAAAACAAGCATTCTGATTATCAAAAACAATCTAATTTCAACATACGATAAAAAAATATGAATATCGAACAAAATAACAGGTAAAAAACAAAAATGTTTGCTCATTTAGTAATTGTTGACAAGAAATAGCAAACACTATCGTATAAAAGAAAATACGTTATCTTGGCTAACACGCTAGTGTCTTGAAGATCGAAACCATGATTGCCATTGCATAAGTTTGCCCTTGAAACTGAGGAGCTCATTGAATCTAGAAATTTTGATATATAAGCGTGCTCAATTTAAATTTCCTATAAAATATATATACAATTCACTGTTTTAAGCTACACCCAAACATTCTATAGTGGTACAAAAAATAAATACATTCACACATCTCTGTATATAAAAATACAGTTTTTATATGAAAAAATATTTCATCGAATGAAAATAGAAAATATTTGTATTGTCTTTGAGCTGTTTCAAAGACAAAATATCACAATGCAATATAAAAATATACATAATATTTAAATCGGTTAATTCACAACGTGTAATCTCCAAAAATTTTAGGCACCAGCTTCATGTTCTCTCTCTTTCACAGAAAGATATCTTCTCAGACAGACGGAAAAAATCAGACATGATCAGTTCCAGGTGGTATACCCACGATACTTTGTAATTCGCCTTGTATGGATGATATGAAATTTTTTGTACTTACGACACTCTGTTTAGCCATTAAATATTCATCTTTATAATCATTTCGTCTTGGCTGTTGATTACTAAAACCGGCTTCATACGAATTTAAATGAAATCGAGCATCTGGATCTGTCCTGGACGGTTCTGGTCGTTGTAGAGGCATTCGTTGTACCTGCTGTTGATCTTCGTTCCAAGCTCGAGATACATGTTTTCTCGATATATCATCCTCGTTTGTTGGAAAACGTGTTTTTATCGAGTCAACATAGACACCATCACTATTAAACATATGTTGTCGTCTATTATCTTCCGGCACTGCAGTTCTTGGTCGTTCTCGAGTAGTGTCTGAGATATTTCTCATATCATTCTGACGCATCAACACTTCTTGATCTGTTTCAATACGTGTTCTTGGAACGCGTTTCGCTGATGCAAAAGCATCTGTACTTGTCGCCGATCGATCTGGTAAATTGTTTGTATGATTGTTAAACAGTGTATTATTTGTTTGCTGTGAATATTTTGTTTGATTTGGCGATGCCGATACATCTTCATTATTTGAGGCATATTTTCTATGTAATTCAACTGGTATCGAGCGAGATATTTCTGCTGCTCGATCGCCTGCTTCGTATGGATTATAACGTAAACGAGTGATATTTGGATCTGGACGATCAGTCACTTGTGCAATCACGGGTATATGACGGCGTTGTTCGTGATCTTCGATAATTGGATCAGATGAGTCTCCGCCATAGTAATTCTCTTGAGGTCGTGTACGACGCCGTTGTCTTCGACGTTTTAATGTTTCTGACTTCGAATCGGGATTTAACTGTTCATCACCAGCTTTATCTAATACTTCATCTAATAGACGATGTAATTTTGTGCGTCCAACTTCAACTTCTGATTGACGTGGTATACGTCTTGGTGAATGGATTGCATAAGACTTTTCATAATATTCTTGTTCATCATTTCTAACTGGCATTTGTACAAGATCTTCTTGATTATTGTTATATGCTGGATTATCATATTGATAAGTTCGCATGCGAGGTGTGGGACGAGATAAAGGCGGTACTAAAAAAAGTGTAAGTATGATAATGCTTACAAAAAATATTAAGTTCACTTTATTTCCGAAAAAGTTTATCTCTAAGCGTTCTGACCACATTTGCCACTTTTATTAAATACAAAAGAGAGGCTTTTCTAAAATTTTCACACTCAAATGGGAATGAAGGTGAGATAGAAAATGAAATGCCAGATTAAGAAGATCATCATTTGTGCTTGTTTCATCCAGCAGTTAGGTCAACTAAGAAATAGAAAACAGCACAAAAATATACGAGTTTGAGTTGTTTAAATACAAACAAAAGCTACGATGAAAATGGAAAGACATTTTGCTAGAAAATTATAATGTTGATTTACAATACGTGTTGATTAAAGAGAAATAAACATACCCTTCGGAGAGTCGTTCTTTCGAGCGGAAATTGAATTTAAGCTTTTTTACAAGGATAGATTAATCTGAAGTGGCTACTTTCAAAATCTATATCACTTCTTACTTCATGTTTCATTTTCGTAAGTTTTAACCGAGGTTAGTTGTTGAAACTTAATCAATTTCTTGTTAAATACTGTATGAATCTTTTTTCTTAAAAAATTCATATTTGTAGAGCAGATATTACTTGTTAATATGAGAGCTATGTTCAACGCTGTGAGAGTGTTAAGACCTTTTTTTCCTATACAGGTCCTAAAAAGTGCCGATGAATAAACAACTGATTTTCTCTCTAGCGTGGGTGTCGTTCGGTAAGTTACATTTTTTCTTAAAAAATAAATTCACTTATTGGTTTTGTTTATTCGAAAACCAGTACAAAAATGGAACGAGTGACAGTGGTAATTTTTCTAAATTTGCGCTCATGTCGAAGAAATCTGCTTTACTTTGAACGGCATCAGCTAACTTTTTGGTTCGTTCAACTGGAAGTGCATCGCAAGCAGCAGTGAAACTGAATTTTGTATATCACTATAGTCATTTTCTAGATTTAGATGCCTAGTTGCATTCAAAATAAATTTGACCTCTATAACTGTTCTCCGTTCTGAGAAAAGTTCAGCTACCAATCGCTACATTTTGATCCTTGCATTATCTATAACTCCTGAATCTCTCAACATTTCATCAAATAGTCTCTATTTCTGAAAATTTTGCTTAAATGTTCGGTGAGAAATATGTTTTTTTTGATAAAGATCTCTCTTTAACATAACATTGACAAAACTGAGTAAAAATGTAAGTTTAGAGAAACTTATTTTCATTGTATACTCACCTGTTGTTGATGATGTCACGTCTTTCAATCGATCAAGATCGGTGAGTGGAGATTGATAAATTTTTTCAAATTTTTCTTGCATACGAATCTTATTTCGCCATCGTTCAACATCACTTTTACTTCTTATACTTTCTCGAATATGAAGAGGGATATCAGATGGTATGGGAAATTGAGGAACGTTTGTCACTCTCCCATCATAAGGTTTCGTTGATGGTGGCGATATACGTTGCCGTTCGTTTTGATCTAAAGGATTTGATTGTATCAGTGAATCTACTCCTGTTGTAGGCTGACGTCCTTGAATGGCATTGTAGTTCTAAATAAATTCAGAATATTTAATAAAAATCATTTGATTTTACTTTAATTTGATTTAAACTGACCGTGCCTATGGTAGGATTTAATAATGGAAAAGTCCTGCTTGTCTCTGGTGCATTAGAGAGTGCCTAGAACAAGTGTATTTTTTGTCAAGGGGATTCTGTATTGTTCAATAATATTTAATTAACAATAATGTAGGAGTGACTACAATAGTGTCAGAAAAAAACTTACTTGTGCACTACTCATGTTGTTCTTAACTCTTGGCCGGCATTTGTAATGAAGATATAAGAACACCAGTATTAGAAGCAACACAAAAGCAATCGGACCCAAGACAGCACCAATTAACCATAGTTTTTTATCGACTGGAGCTGTACTAGTCGTCGATGTTGTAGTATTCTCAGCAACTACAAGTTGAACTCTTTCTGCTGCTATCAGATTAATACCCGGAATAGATATTGTAAGTTGAGCTTGCATTAGACTTACAGGAAGACTCGAAATAGCATTGTAAACTAAAAGACCGCTAATTGTCGTACAATTTTTTACGTAATAATAAACTCGATAATAATTTGGGTCAGCAGTCTAAGATAACAGATTTATTTAATATTAAGTTTGACACTCTCCTTTCTTTCAGGATTACTTACTGCGTTTGGCTGGGTTATGTTTACAATAACTGCTTCGAGAAGACAGTTTGTTTGCCTTTTCCTTCTGCCAGAGTTACAGGGATTGTTTAAACAAAATGCCAAATACACAATTGCGGTAAGACCGTCATTTAACTTGGTTCTCTGAGTATCATTTTTTGCATTAAAAGTTCCGTTAAAACCTGAATCAAATAACACAATTTTATTAATGATGAACAATAAACGTTGATAAAACTTACCTGAATAAACAATATCAGATTCTGGTACTAGTGTTGTTGATTCTGAAGTCAATGTTGATGTCTGTGTGAAGTTGAGGATACCGGTAGTAATCGTTGAAGTTTGTGTAAAATTGGTAATATATTCGGTACTTCCGACTATTCCTTGAGAAGATAGTGTTGTAGTTTGAGTAGAAAGAGTGCTAGTAACCGGGAAGATTGAAGGGACTGAGAGCAAAATTGTCGATGAAGTAAAATCTGAAGAATAACTGGTCGAGCTTAATAATGAGTTGATCATAGTTGTTGTTGAAACATATGATGTTGATTGTTCACTGCTAGTCACATACGTATTGCTTGCCGTTATTTCCGTATTAACTGCTTGTGACGTTATCGTCGGTGATGTGGTTATGATTGTTGAATCAAACATAAGAGTCGAGGAAGATACAAATGTTGTTGCTTCATGTGATATTGATGAAGATGCAAGCGTAATGGTATTTGTTGTCGATAGTATGGTAGTAAAAGCCAATGATGAACTTTCTGTCAATTGATTTAGAGAAATTGTCGGTTCTAAAGCGCAACATACTTTTCAAATTAGCTTCATAAAATTAGATATTTGAAGAAAAAGAATCCATGAGGTATAGTGTCTGACTGACGTTACGAGCTCACTTTTATTTTGTTTGTTTTATATAATTAAATTAATAAATCTGGCAAAATAGGAAAGATAAGAAATTTACAAAAGTGTATGACCACTACACTGGTTGAACAAGAATTAAGACACTAGAGAGTATTTATTTTTTACAGTTAACAGGTGATCATTACAGAAGAACAGGGTGATAATTTCTTGACGTTTAACTAACACATTAAGGAGTTAGTGTATCTTAAACCACTCTTTTACGCTATTGATTCTTTAAGCACGTGCTCAACTACTTCACTTTTCATAGTGCATCTACGAGCATGCAGTGGTTTACGAATTGACAGAAATGAAGCTACTTTTCTTCTGTTTGCTCTACATCTTACTTAAAACTTGATATATAATTTATCGAATTAGACTATCGCCTTCGAAAAGTCAATCTACTCGTATCAAAATTGCCATAGAGCCATAAACGATTGCAAATACAATAGTATACCTGTATGTGATGTTGACTGAATTATTGCCGATACTATACTGGTTAGGGGAGTCGAGCTAATTTCAGAAATAGTGCTAAATTGTTGGCTACTTTGAGTTTCGTTATTAATCTGGGTAATAATAAAAGGAGTTGACGGAGAAACTGTGTTTGTGATTGTATCAGTTACCATACTTGGACTCGAATATGAAGAACTTGAATATATTGAGTACAGTGGCGTGACACTAGTTATTGTACTAACTGATACTACAGAAGAAGTTGAGTACAATGATGTGACACTTGTTATTGTACCGACTGATATTACAGGAGAAGTTGAGTACAGTGGTGTGACACTTGCCGATACTATACTGGTTAGGGGAGTCGAGCTAATTTCAGAAATAGTGCTAAATTGTTGGCTACTTTGAGTTTCGTTATTAATCTGGGTAATAATAAAAGGAGTTGACGAAGAAACTGTGTTTGCGATTGTATCAGTTACCACACTTGGACTCGAATATGAAGAACTTGAATATATTGAGTACAGTGGTGAGACACTAGTTATTGTATCGGCTGATATTACAGAAGAAGTTGAGTACAGTGGTGTGACACTTGTTGTATCGGCTGATATTGAAGATAATTCATTATGGGTACTGTAAAATAAGCTAGCATTTAAAAATGGTGAAGAATAAAATGTGGTATCTGTCTGTGGACTTATTTGAACTGTCGGCCCGGTGGTCAAGAATACTGAATCAAAATGAGTGGAGTAAAACGAGCTGGTATCTGTAAACGATGAAAAAGGAGAGGTAACGGATGTCTGAAGGCTACTTGATTCAGTAGGATGAATTGATGTAGTTAATGTAGTTCCAGTGGATCCAGATGCGATTATCGATGATTGTTCTGTTAAATATGCTGAAGACTCGCTATGAGGCGATGATTCTCCAGAACGAGATATATATTCAGTTGAAAATTCTGAGAAATTCATAGAAAAAGGGGAGTTGCTTGTGACGGAGACCTCTGTTGCCGTGAACGTTTGAAATGTACTGCTCAGAACTGAAGCGCTATGGTCTTGACTTCCACTTGTTGTATCAGAGTACACGCCTGACATTGAGACGGATGGAATGTATAAGAAGGTTGACGAGTCTTGAAATATTCCACTCGAAGTTTGCGTGATATTCATACTTGTAAAAGATACCGTGTTAACAGATGAAGAGGTATCCGAAGAATGGAAAGTTGAAGTGAATGACGAATTAGTTTGGGATGTTGTTACGTCTGAGAATAATGGCGATTGACTCGATGGTAGATTTGATGGAAAAGTATTTGGTATCGTTGAAAAAGTGTCTGAGAGGGAAGCAGTAGAACTTGTGTCAGATGAGAAAGCTATTGGACTTGACTGGGATGCTGCTGTCATTAGTGAACTCTGAGAGATTATACTTTGTAAGGACGTTAAGTAGTTCGTTGATGATGGTGTTAATTCCGTTGAATACAATAATGAACCAAGATATGATGATTGCTCGCTGCTGAAAAACTGACTACTTGCTGTAAACGTTAAGGTTGAATACTGATTTGGTGTCGATGAGTGCAGACTAGTTTCACTATTTCCTGACAATTGTGATGAAGATGATTGTGTTGATATTATAGAGTATTGTGTACTAGATGCAATTGTAGAAGAAAATTGTGTTATGGAAGTTTGATAAACAGTTGGCTCTGAGTAGGTTGTGGACTGAAGACTTATTTCTGATACCAAAAACTGACTGGCTCCAACAAAGTTTTGAGATGATAATAATGTAGAAGGCGCTGAACCGAGAGAAGTGGAAAATGTATCAAAAATGGCTAATGAATGTTGGCTGGGGGTGATATCAGTGGCTATTATAGAATGAACACTTGAATCATACGATTGTATAAATGGTGTCGCTGTCGTAGAAGACAAATTAATCACGTTACTAATTGAGGTAGGATTTACGCTTGCTGATATCGGCGTGTTAAGATTTGTCGACGACAAATTATTTTGATTATTAAAGTCGGACGAAGGAATAATGGAACTACTTTGTGATGTGCTCAATATGACGGTGGACGAGTCATATGATGAAATACGTACTGATTCCAGAGAAGATTGAGAGCTAAATATCGGCAATGACGTAGAGCTGTTGGATGGGAATAAGGTTGACGAAGTGTCATGTGGCGAAGATGCTGTGAATACAGTAGTTACTGTAGTTGTTTGAGCTACATTGATTGAAGATGAATTATTCATTGCTGTAATTTCAGGTGTATATAACGACGAAGGAGTCAAATATGAAGTATTTGATGAAGTGGTTATGTAAGTTGATGCCAGTGTTGACGTGATAACTGTCACAGAAGAAATGTTGTTACTAACGGTACTCTGATCAGATGTCGAAGATGATAGGTTGATATTTGTAATACTAATGATCGAGGTATCAGTATGTGATATACCGGTAGAGGACGAGACATTATCCGTTTCTAAAGTAAGCGGAAACAGATTTAGGCTTCTATATCAGATTGCATATCATGAACGTTAAGTTCTTGTTAAGTTGAACACCATCGTATTTAAATAAAAAAGTGTTAGTAAACAAATCAGTTGTGATTCATAAGCACAAATTATAGCTTGATGTTTAAAAGAATTATATAGCAAAACGAAATATTTTTTTTATAATTTTCAGACAATAAGCAGCAAAAGCGAGTTATTTAGTTAGATTGAATAAGCTTGATGGTGGAGAATGCACTTTCAAATCACCTCTGTTTAAAATAAATATATACACGCCATACAGTCAGTTTTAACATTAACCCTTAATATAGTAGTTTATATACAACATGTATTAAAAACGAGATGTTACACACGAATAAAGCATGATAATAACTAATAATAATAACTTGAACGGCATATAAAGCGTCAAAAATTGCTACTATATGTTTACAATAAATAACAAGCCATACGTGTAGGTTGTATAGAGTCTTGTCTTTTTCCTATAATGTTTAAACTAGAATCATTACTTACCGAAATGTCTTTTAAAAGTAAATTTCCGTACTATAGTTGTACAAAAAATGTTTTATAAAAGATGTTAAACACTATTACACAGCCTGAAGATGAAATTTCATCACACAGATTTAATAAAACTTTTGGATGCATCTGCTCAGAGAAAAGAAGAAGAAATAATAAATCGATCTCTAATTAAGAACAATGTGCAGTGGTCTAACAAAAAAGGCATTCATACCTCTTGCTAATACTGGAGAATCATTTGCAGTTGCATTATCTAAAATAATGCAGCTGTTTATTAAAGTACAATTTTATTCAATGCACTTTACGTACTATAGGTATTAACATCGTATATGCTAAACAATGATATACCCCCACAACACGTTGTTTCGTGTGTCGGACATGGGATTCTGCACTCATTTTCGTCCAAATTTGTTGACTGTCTGATATTCATACCACAATAACATAAACTTCCATTAAGAATTCCAGCATATATGGAATCAGAACACATAGTAATACATGCACCAATATTGTTGACAACTCCTAACATTCCTTCTAGTGCATTTTCTTCAAAACATCCTTGATATCCAACGATATTGTTCAAACAATCATTATCTGATTCTTGAACGAGAATGATAGTTTAGTTTGGTTGAACTTTTAAATTTAAAAAAAATATGATACCTGGATCGGATGGTGTGGTAATTTCTACATTGTATACACTATTTCGATTATCGCCACCACATTTTGCTGTTATTTCTTCCGATGTACATTGATAATCGCATTCGCCATCTGACACTTCTCCATATAATCCATATGTCTGACCACAGCGACATTCGTTTCTGTAATAGAATATAGATTTATATAATAATGAAAATATTGTTTTGATTTAGCATACCCAAACTGTATACCGGCATAAGTAAAATTTTGTTCTCTACAAGCGGTAATACATTGTGTTGGACTCAACTCATCTCCAATAAATGTATCAAGGTCACGAGTTCCTACTTGATCGATGTAACATCCGAGATAATTATCATCACCTAAAATAAAAAGTCATCATACTTATGTAACAATCATTGATTTATTTTTCTGTCTGCTAAAAACTATACCTTTATTACGTTGTATTAGTTGAAAAACAAAATAATAAAGTAAAAAGAGTGTTTTCATTGCAAATTTTGTTCATACCAGTGTATCAAAAATTGATATAATCTGAAACAATACATATGGACACCTGATTAATAGTTCATATGACATAGAAATTAATTTTACAATCGAAATTAAAAACATAGTTTTGTCAATGATTCAAATTTAAATTTCTAACATTTAAAATTCAACGATGACAGTTTTCAAAAAAACAAAAGTATTTATAAATAAATGATAGATTATTATCCACCAGCCTAACATATACATGAAATAAAGACAAAAACTATTCGATAATCTCTATGTTTTATTTAGATATCGTTCTAAGAGGAATATCGTCCTACTGTTTTTCACTTGATTTCATAGTTGATAGATTTATGTAGATCATATTTTTGGGTAAAACAACGTTTTGTTTCAAATAAAAAATCACACGAAAACTAAGACTAAAAGGAAAATATTTTTTGGTCCAAAATGATATTAATTTCATAATCTTCATTAGTATGAAAAAGTGAAGGTCATATATGGCGTAAACAAACAGATCTGAAAAAGTACTTTTATTATTCTCTAACATGAATGCGACATCGCCCACAAATATATAAAAAGAATATAAATGAATAATCTATCCTATAAATGATATAAAATAAATTGATAAACAATTTGGTAGTGTTAATATCGAACAAATATGAAACAAAAACATTTCTTAGTTTTATAATACAAATCATCCTAACAGATAGAAAAAAAATATTTTAGTATGAAAATATATTTTACTATTTTAAAAAATAAAAATATTTTATTTGTCTAGAGTGACCAATAATTTCAGCTCATAATATAAAAAGAAACTAGAGTAATAAAAAAAATGTGTTTTACGTACTTAGTATTATTATAAAAACAACGTTTTAGAAAAATATAATTATGATAAATACACACATATACATGTTAAACGACAATCAGTTCGATTAAAAAGTTCAATATTTGAGTTATGACTTTATATGTCATATTTTAACCTAATAGTTAGTTTTATATCACATATGACTGATATAAAACTAAACACTATTACTTACAGATGATAATCGTAGAAAGTCGTACCTCTTTCCAAGTACTAATGCAATATAATTTGAAACAGATTTTTACCAGTTATTATTCCTTATCTCGAATTTAGTATATTTCTATACTTGATTAATTTCAATAATGTATAAAATATGAGAGATGCTTTCATTTTTCTTTCTTTATTCTTTATGCTGTTTAATTATATACAAACAAAGTTCATCTTTTACATTGTCAAATTTTCCTGCGGTTTTTTATTTTTTATTCTATTATTTTTCTATTATTCAATTTCGTAACACTTATGTATCCCTAAAAATACTATCAAGTTGTATAAACATTAATTTATTTTTACTCTATAGACATTTATCTTCGAGCAGGATATTCCTCATCACAAAGACATGCGTGACGTAAACGATTTAATAGACTTTTTGTCTTGTAAGTTTGAATTAGAAGACTTAATCTAATAGCTTTAAAAACAAACAAAACAAAAACAAAAAAAAAAACGAGAAAATGTTAAGCATTGTGTACCAGACTATAAATATACCATCCGTCTATGTAGGCTTCAACCATTAGCTCTGATGATAGTGTCAATCTCATACAACTTTCAATAAATCAACGTTCAAGTAGAAGACATGTGTCTAATTATTGAAATCACATTTCAACATTAGACTATAGCTCAAATAGATAATATTGAAGAAAATAATTTTGTATGACTGAAACACTGATTTTATTAGGTTGAGGAAAAAGTTCGTGCGCCGTGTTAAAATAATGATTTTTTATATATTTTTTTTTGTGTTTTTGATCTGGTTTTGTGGCTATTATGAAAATTTATTGATTTTTGA